CCTTGGAGTTCAAAGCTGTGGAGAGAATGATCTTCTACAGAGCTTGTTTTAGGACACAATGTTAAGAAGTCTGCTTGTGTATCTTGGGCCAAGCTTCTACATTAAAAGCTTTAGTTGAAAACATTCAGCAAGCTTTACAGCAAAGAACTAGACCTGCAGATTCTCACTTTATTTATCCACTTCCCCATATAAAAATATCTGAGCATGACAAATTACAAAGCCAAGAAGGACTGGATTTAAACAAGAAGGTATCAGTAGTGACCAGCTAATCAGGGTGTTCAGTACTATATACCACAACTGTCAAATTGCACTTGCTGTTTAAGAACATCACAGAGAACTCAAGTTTTATAGCTCTCCCTCCCTGTTGACAAGTGCTCATGTTCACTCACTCAATGGCTCTAAGAGCCACCAAAGTGGATGCAGATCAACATACACTGAAATCTGAAAGAGAACAACTAATTCTTGCCCACCCCACTGCACAGACAGATGGAGTCTAAGAAGGGTCCCATGGAAGCACATACCAGAGATCACGCAGCAGCAAGTTAGCAAGCTTCAGCTGCTTGTGATGGTAATGCTCATGCTGGCTCTTGGAAAGAAAGAGCACAATGTGATAGCACTAAAGGTAAACACGGATTACTAACCTGCTCCACAGCTGCCTAGCTACCCTGGAAGCCTCATCCCCACCCCTCTGCTGAGGGCACCAGTCACACACCTGAATCTCCTTTCTCCTCCACTCCCAAGCCACTCTCATGAATCCTCTGCCTCCCACCTCCCCAAAACTTGCAGACATCAAAGGCACCTGCCTTGAACACCTGAAGAGCAGAGGGGCCTGACGGTCAAGAAATGCAACTATCTTCCCCTTCCATCCACTCTATTTTTTTCCTCCCTCATCCCTTTGAAAAAGGTGGCAGAGATAAATGGAGAACAAAGAAACAAGAAAAAGCCACAGCTTTGGCCCACACCCTGCCTATTACTTAAGGGGGAAGGAACTCTTCCGAAAGAGGAGGAAAAAAAATGTGCTCAGACACAATGGCTCAAAAGGCCAGGCAGCAAACCGGGCCACTTTGTACTGCTAACAAGGGAAACCTAATTACAGGAAGAGGGCAAAGAGAGACAGATAAAAGGGATACAAAATTTCAACATCTGTTGCCATAAAGGGATAAGAAGTGGGGAAACGCAAAGTGTCAGTTTGGTGTCAGTGACGGCGTAAAGCCACTTTCAAAGGACTCAGGAGAGGGAGAAAAACCGAACAAGAAATTAGAGGGTTCTTAAAAAAAACCCCAACAAAATACAAAAAAAAACACTCTGCCAAAAATGTTTTCAAAAGGGGAGAGGAGATGGACAAAGACTGGATATTTAAAAGGTGGAGGATCTGGGTGGCTTGCAGGGCACAGCTAACTTTGGCTCAGTTTTCACAACAGCTCTTGTGCCCTGCATCTGTCACGTTGTGTCACAGGAAAGGACAATATAGGACTCGTGCATTCAAAGTTTACAGTGTAAGGACTACCACGCCAGACAGATCACTGGTCCATTTCAAATATCAGGCTTGGCAGAGTTGCTGCAAAGAGACCTCTGGAGTATCCTACCTTATGGAGAAGCATCCTTGAGGCAGGGGCATGTGTCACCTAAAGACATGCAGACCACCATGACAGGCTAGGGAGCATCAGTTCTCTGCAGGCAAATGACAAATGCTGACCTTGGAGCTGTTCCCAGTGGTGCATCGGCCTCATCTCCCAGGGAGATAAACTCCCAAAGGAGACAGGAGGCAGGAAAAAAAAAGAAAGAGCATGATTTGAAGAAAGTATCCTTTTCTCTTGTTTGCCATTAACTGGCTGTTCTGCTGAGCAACACACTAGCACTGGCAGGTATGACAGGATGGTCTGAGAGAGAAAGGGTACCTGACCTGCATGAGGGGCAGCTGCCATCATATTCTTCATTGGCACTGAAGGGCAAGGGGACTGCCAGGTGTCAGCAAGGCCTGATACTAGATGCAAGGATAAAGGTTAGTATCTAGTACTTCATACTGCTAATCATTCTCCTTTTTTGTGCAGACCCTTAATCACCAAAGCTATTCATAGCCCCCCTCCATGAACACACCTTGATCCTGAATGGCAATAAGTACACAGCAACTTCCCCACATCTAAAAGCAATCAGATGGCATAATGTAGCATGTGCGGGATGAGGTAGGTCCTGCAGAGGTGCAGCTAGCCAGCTTCAAAAGCATAAGGGAAAAAAACACCCTCCTTCATTACAGGAGAAAGGGCCAGGTGTAACAGCAGCTGGAATTTCAGCCATCAGAGACAGTGTCTTGGCATTACGCGGTCATTCCCCTCCTTTAGACTCCTCTTGACAATTGCTTGTTGCTGCCTGTTGTGGCTTTGATCCAACACCATCATCTCAGCAGAGTCAGAAATGAAAGACAGTTGTGGGGGTGGGATGCAGCAAGAGGCGTTTCCTTTCCCCAATAAAAATTTCCTCACTGCCAAACCCAACCAAGCCCTTTTCAAAGCCCAGGACATATTTCCAGGTGAAGACTTTATCCCCTTCCTCTTGGAGGGATGAGAATGGCTGCCCCAGGGTCAGGGAACTGCAAAGGTCATAAATATGAAGCATACCATGACCAACAGCTACAAGCACCAGCCAAGGACTTATCTGGCCTGGAACTAAGATGATCAGTACACAAAAGGTTATTTAAGCTTTAAATCCTTTTGTAGCATGTTCCAGCTCTCAGCTGTTGGGGAAAAAGACCACCTACGCCAAGGGAAGAGAATGCCACAGAAACTGCTGCAACATTACACAAACCCCCATGGATAAAACAACCAGCTAAACTGCACTAACTGTTCTTGGACAGCATTAAACATCTAAGTGGTGATAAGGATCCTGTAGTTTTAAAGAACACATCTTAAGCACTACTCTACCCTGCCTGATTTTTTTGACAGAGCAGTTGCCTGGATTTTGCTCTTGGAAATAAAGTCCTTGCCATGCTCAGGATCTGCAGGTTAGACTCTGGCCCTTAGTGGTCACAGGAAGGGGTAAGCAACAAATGCGGGAGGCCTGGCTCTGTCTTCCAGATGCTAATAGGACACACTGGGCACAGGAGAAACTTTTCAGTCCTGGTAGCTTTAAGATTTTGAGTTTCTATGCCATGCAACCACTTCTGGAGTCTGACCAGGGAGACAACATGCATAAACTTCAAAGGAAGAAATAGCATTTCCCTATGAGATCTCTTCTGGAAATGACCGGCGCCTTTGAAAATCAATCCAAAGCTCTTTTGGGAAGAATGGTTTATGGAGAATTCAAGACCTGGAAGGATAAGTCTATACTCCCTCACTATAAATGACCACAGCAAGCTTCATGTGCTAGTTTCCCAGCCATGCTTCTTACTCAGCCTCCTGCCCTGCACGTGCTGATAAGACTTCCAGCTCACAAACAGGCCCCAAGAGAGGAAAAGACCCAGTGGCATGGTGCATTCCAGCTGTGACAGGTGAAGAGGGAAGAATAAGTTTGACACTTCAGCCATTGCAATAGAGGCCCAGTGGCCTAGGTTGCCTTGGCTTTTTTATTTGCCTGTCAGTCAGGCTTTGACGTTATTGAAAGATCAAACTCCGTTGTGCCTGTTCATTACCTTAATCCTATTTTCTACACAGCTTTATTATCTCTTCAGGCTTCCTTGGGAAAGGCTGTCAGAGAGGCTGAGGCAGGGGGGAGCAGGTTGCCTATCTCCTCACCCCTGTCAGATGCTTCTATTCAAGAACAGCCGGAAGACCTGATGGGCAGGGGTATCACAGCACAACCCGCATCCTTCTGGGTTACTCCAAAGGCACCATCAGACTAGGTCACCAAGAAAACATGCACCATAGCTGAATGCGCTGGTGCTGTTTTTCCTACTCTAGTTTGTCCTTTGTGGGATGCATCCTTTGCAGTCTGTTTTTGTTACACTTCAGAGAAAACCAAGCTGGTTTGTATTGGATGCAGTTGACTCAGACAATCTGATCTAAACTATAGATTAGAAGGCAACTGGCCTCAGATGAGCCCTGCACACACACCGATCCTTCTCTACCTCCTTTCCCCACACACAGCTCTGCTGACACCCCTCAGGCCCCTTCTGCCATTGTCCCCCTTCTCTCCCCTTCCCAAGCCCACCAGCTCACCTCAATCCTGACGACCCTCCACTGATAATCTGTGCTGTGCCACTCCTACTCAGAGCATACCAGTCCTGGAAAGCTGAGCTGCCGTTCAATAATCCTGCCAAATATTTGCTATCTTTCCATCACTACACAAAGGCCCCCAGGCTGAGAGTTTCAAATTTGTCAGCATTTGAGTCTCATGTCAGGCTTTGAGCCCAACATTTCCCCAGTTGCTAAGGTCAGCACCTTCACCAAACAGGAACTACTCAAAGGTCCCAAATCAGAGGCCACAGCAATTAACCTCTTCAATGCTTATTAAGGCAGGGAGAAGACAACACTTCCATAGACAACCTGTTGCCACCCCTCACCTCCCAGAGCTACTACCTCTGGCTTCTGAGCACCACAGACTGAATGGGAAGATGAAAACAACCTTCCTCACCCCTCTGGCTCAGGCTAAAGCATCAACTGATAGATCAATGAAAAGGAAGGTGTCATGTGCATACTCTGATTGTACATGGGTAATGGGAAGAAACCAGGGTAGCTGTGGAGAACTGGAAATGCTGGGAAGAAAAGTCGAGCTGCTCCCTACTGAACCAGAAAAAACACACTCCGCCCCTCCCTGTCATCTTTCCACACCAGTTTGTTCTGTCCCCCACTCCATTCTACATCTCATATTTAAACACAGAATTATAGAATAGTTAGGGTTGGAAAGGACCTTAAGATCATCTAGTTCCAACCCCCCTGCCATGGGCAGGGACACCCCTTGCCTTCAAGGACAAAAGGAATGATTTTACACCATCTCCAATATTGCATTTCTCAATGTTACTTACTTTCCCCATCAAGTCCCTCCCCATAACCTGAAAGCTCACTTACCTCTCAAGGTCCCAGATTCTCAGAGGTGAGGTGTGTCCACAGCAGGCTGTCCCCGTCACAAATGAGCTGCTTACAGAACACAAGCAAACAAAAAAAAACCTTACTAATCCTTGTATTCTGAAGAAATAGTGCATAAGCAAGACAGAAAATAGGCTACAAGACAGACTGAATTTTGGTCCAAGACTATGTCAGCATGTTCCACCACATTTCACAAGGAGCAGGCAGCAGCAAAGGGAGAAGTGCTTCAGAGCTCTCAGTAGCTGAGCTTCCCAGATTCAGCAAGTCACAACTGCAGAGAATTGGCAGGGCATAAAACTGTATTTGTATATGCAAGGGGAAAACCTAAAATAGGAGCAGCTGTAAATTGCAACAACATTTTCTAAACAGCACAGTACTCAGCAAGTTTCATGTGAGTGAATACATGTCAGGGCTGTAAGCTCCAGAAAGACCTCGTGGAAAACTCCCTGTTACTTCCTACTCATGTCTCGGCTTCTGTTTGTTGGCAACTTCTGAGCACAGTCATGAACTGGCTGCAGCACCACAGGCCTAAAGAATCACAGGAAAGAGGTCTCCAGCCCCGGTTGCTCAAAGCAGGGCCAATTTCAAAGCTGGCTCAGCTTGCCCTCCCCAGCACTCAAGCACTATTAGAGGCTGGACAGTCCTCCTGCAACAACATTTGGCTCAGCAACATTTGGCTCAGCTCACACTCTCCTGCAGGGTCCATTCCAAAGTCCTCTGGTGATGCTATGTCCCTGCTGCACGTGCTGGTTCCAGAGGTTGTCTGATAGCCAATGGCCTAAAGCTAGTTGATAAGACAGGAACAAATCTTCAAAATCAAGCAGCAGGAACATGGGTGCTGTGGCTCTCCACACCACACTGCTGGTTTTATGCCAACTTCCTATCCTCAGTCCAAATAAGAGAAAGCAGCTCACACAAAGGTTTCTAAGTAAGCTATAAATGACCTCTCACAAAGCCATATTTATTGCAGCTACCAAGAATAAAATGTCAAAACTATGTTTAAGTCATTGCAACAAGGATAGCAAGAATGCAGGAAACGGAACCTGCTTTAAATAAAAGCCAGCTCTATCCTTTGCCTAAACATCTTTTGCAGCATGACATGGAGCTAGCAGCTAAAAGAGGAAAGCAAATTAAAGAAACAATGTCACATCTCTAAGAATAGCATTTTTAAACATTTCTTTGAACCTCTCAAACATCCTTTCTTTGGAAATCAGGTGTCTCCAAGCTTGTATTGTACCAGGAATGGATTCTTGCAGCATTCTTGACTTTTGTAAGAAGCACTACTGCTGGTGTTACAAGGCACCCAGCAGCAAAGTAGCAAATATGCACTCACTCACTCAAAGCCAGAGAAGAGCCATGTACAAGCAGGGCCAGAAGTCAGGACTTCTAGCTCTGTGGTTTAGGTGAGCAATTGGTTTCTCCAAATCATAAGGCCAAAGCAGCACTGTCAATACACTCCAAGAGAGGCAAACAGATACATCAAGCTCCCTGAAAGAGCTAATGGAAACCAAGGAAGATCTACAGCTATGAAAGCTTTCTCTTTTGTTGGCTTTATCACTTCTATCTAAACTCACATAACTGCAGTTGTCCACAAGTCCTGTGATCCTTAACTGCCCTTTAGGCCTAGACAAGGCCTGCAGCACCAGAGCTATTTCAAAGTCTCCTCAACAAGGCTGTTTTACATGCAAAATCCCAGGTTCATTAGCAGTGCACATGCAATTGGCCCAATGCATCTATAGCACAGGGCTCTGCTGCAGGGTGCACACATTCTTCTCCATGGAAGTCTGACCAAAGTCTGACAGTCTAAGGAAAAGCCAAAGGCGACAGCATTTCACATTTGGAAACAGGGTTTCTGCCCAATACCTGCTCCACCATAATGCAGGACAAGAGGGAAGATATCCCTTTGGTCAATGTGTCCCATCTCCGAGGAAAAACAAGCAAAAGACAGCCACTCTGACAGCTCACCAGTCAAACCCCATGTCTGGAAAACAGCACTTTGGTCAGGGAGTCCCTCAGCTACAAAGCTAGGTGTTGGGTTCTGTCCCTCCCTCCCCAAACATAATCCATTAGTAAGTACTAAAGCCAATTACCGTGGTTAGAAACATAATAGCAGTCAGGGAGTCAGTCGAGCAGGCAATTGGGTGCTTAAGATTTTTCTTTTGGGGGACAAACTGACTCTGTCCCAGCAGAGAACGCCCTCACGTGGGAGACAGGCCCCTTTGTGCAGAAGGTATGCACAAGGCTTTGATGGTTGCCACAGGTCTAAATTAGCATGGAGGCACACCAACAGGGAGAAAAAGGTGGGAGGAACAGCAAGGTCTAATCCCTGCTCATGCTGTCAATTCTGGACTTCAGCTTTCCCTCCTCAGTTCTTACCCCCCACCCCTCCAAAGAAAGAAGAAAAATAGCATTAGATGAAGAGATTTGTCTCCAGGATCACATACAGGCCTCAGGGCCACAAACAAGTTTCTTCTAAGTAAAGCTGACTCCATTCAGTCAACAGGAATTTTGTCTCATACTTCAGCAGGATCAGGTTTGCAGGCCTTATCTTTAACAGGCTGGAGCCCATTAGCAAGCAAAGATAAGACTTCTCCCAGAAGAGCAGGGCACCTTCACTGCCTGGATTAGAAAGCAGCATTCACAAGACATGCACAAGAAGTGGTGCCAATGAGAAATTCCCAAAGCCTTGGAGCAAACTGACCCGGAAGTCTGGATCCCCAGGGCCCCTCACCTTGAGCCTGGTCTGCAGGAATACACCTTCCACCTCCAGGCCTCTCATAACTGGGAACCTCTCAGAGGTGACTGTTCCATTCCAAGCAAAAGTGCAACACATGTCAGCTTGGTTATGTCTAAAACAATATTCAAATTGGAACTAAGCATGTAAAGTTTAGCTCCAAATCTTCTGCAACATTGTTCAGCAGAACTGAAGCCTTCTACCAGGCTTGCTTCTTCCAGTTTACTTTCAGCAAGCTTTTTGTCTTAGAAAGCACAGAGCACACACCAAACCCCTGTGATCTAGAGAAGTGCAACCTCTCCACAACTGTTTTTGCCAGCTGCTCAAGAGAAGCAACTCAAACAGAGTTACTGGTTTACCGAATGTCATTTTTCTTGCCTACAATGCTCTCAGGAGTCAGAGCTACTGAGGAGAGATGAGATTGGGAAGAAGATACCCTATATATATTACTGCAGGGATGACCCATCTCTCTGATGTATATATGATACTACTGATGTACATAGACACTACCCAGATGTATCTACATGCTACATAAAAAAATGGTATTCCCAAGCTTCAGATGGCCTTGGAAGTGCAAAGCCCTTTCCTCAGTGAAAGCTGCTGGGTATCATGACTACAAACTCCCTCCAAAGACTCCCCTAACAGGAAAATGAGCTTCTGCAGAGCTTCTGTAACAGGGCATGTTATCTTCACTGGGATCTCCTAGGAGGTAAAACAAAACAAGCCAACATATCATTTCCACCTCTGGGGTACCAGGAAGATGACGATTCTGCAGACCATTGAGACACACATACTTCATATACAACATGTTTTTGTTGTCCAAAGCAAGGCATTTTCCAACTGATTTGATACTTTGATGTTCTCTTTCCCATTTGAAACTCCCTGCTAAGAAGGGGGAGGGGGGAATAAACCCCCCAAAATGAAAAAAAAAAACTGCTTCTCCTGAAGCCAGACCTTCTCTATGCTGTACAGGAGACATTTCGTTAGAGATCATCCCCCCGCAACAGAAGCTGGGCCAGGGGATGAGAGAGAACACACATCCTGGCAGCGCTTTTGGAAGAAATGCAAGAACTGTCCATCTGACTGACTTGTGGTTGTTGAATCCCATGGCATTTCTGGCAACAGCAGTAGTGCTCTGGCTACAGTCCAGCTGCAATGATCCCGTGCCTGCTCACAAGGTGCCAAGTACACCATTTCACCCCACCCGTAGCATCCCTCTTTATCCTGTTCTGGACTGAACATTGCCAGATGTGGATGAACCAGAGGGAAAGAGGCAGCTGGCCATCAGTTTTTTGGGGAAGAGGCTGTTTGTCATGGGGCTTGGAGACAGTCTCAGCTCCAGACATACAAATCCCATTCTACAAATACACACCTTGCTCACTGTCAACCTAGCCTTCAGATCAGGCACTACCTGAGCTGGGAATCCTGCAATGCAAAGTCATTGAAAGAACCTAGGTGAAACAGGCTCTTTCCAACCTCTTCTCTCTAAACTGCCCCCATGCCTCAGGCTTGCACCCTTCCCCTGTACTGTAATCAGATTGCTTCTCCAGTCCCATTCTGCTCTTTGGGGATTTCAAATGCAGAATCTGCTTGACGCGTGCAAGAGTCTGTTCCTTCCTCCTCACGCACTCCCCCGCCCCCTGCATTGGACATCGTTGTTCCATTTTGGAGACTATTATATACAGAGACTCACTGGACTGGGAAACAAAGAAGTTATTACATGACAGAGCCCTGCAGCTGGGAATGTGGAAGGCGGGGGGGAGAGGAAGGGGAGCACCGAGGGAGACAGGGACGCAGGGGGCTGGTAGCAGCATTATGAAAGCTATCAACAGAAAGGACAGCTCAAAGATGGGAAATATCTGTTAGAAAGCCTCAAGTGAGATGAGAAAAGAAGAGAAAGCAAGTCCAGGATGGAGAGTGGATGAGAGAAAGCAGTTGGTGCCAACGGTGCCGCGGGTTAAACACACGGGTCTGTGGGTTTGTGTAGCCTTTGATTCAGCACTGACACGCTCTGGCAAGGGAGGCCACCAGAGCTGTCAAATCCTTCACCAACGTGCCCATCAATTGTATTCAGCTCTCCCCGACCTGCACTGGCATTTTAATTACTGTTGGGTAAACTAATTTGTACAAATGAAGGCAACTCTGCCTAATAGAATATGCAAGCTCTCTGACCTCTGACAAGCGATGACACAAGATACAAAGGAGGCAGAGGAAGGCTTTTTATCAGAGCCTTATTACTCTCTATTACTCCAATTAGTTAAGCTCCAGTGCTCCTAATTGGGGGAAAAAATTGCAATTAAATCAATTTTTGATG